GCCCTGCCTCCGCGTCCTCCCCGCGCCGCCTCCGCCGGACCTGGGCGCTGCGCTGCGGAGGGCCGGCGCGGCGATGATGAACAGGTTCCGAAAGTGGCTCTACAAACCTAAGGTTTGCCCCAGCGCCGCGCTGTCGTCCCCCTGCCCGACCTCCTGCCCCCTCCCCGGCGAGACGAACCCCTTCCCGTCCTCGGGCGGCCCCTCGCGCGGCCCCGACCCCCCTTCCCTGGACTCCGAGACCCTGGCAGACCCTCGTCGCCCTGGCACCGGCGCGGCGCCAACCTCTTCCCGAGCCCGGGTGAGACGGACCCCGCTCACTCTCGCCCGGGCGCACTCCCCGCTCCTGCCTGCGGCCGACCCGGGCCCGCTCGCTCCCGGGCGCTCGGTTCCGGACAGGACGCTGCCCGCTCCGCATGGTCCCCGGCCCACGGGTCCAGGGAGCCACCTACGACTTCGGAGTTCCCCTCTCTGCACCGGGGATGCCTCCCTCCACCCCTGAGCCCCAGCATTCTGGGCCCAGGGTGACGGCCCCCCCCCTCCCGTTTCTCTCTGCTCCTGGAGCAGAGCCTGGCCCCGCTTCCTCCCGGTTCCCAGTCCCCAGGTCCCCGTGTCCGTAGAGGCTCCGGTTGGCCCGATCTGGATCCCCAGGCAAGACGCCCCCTGCCCGGTCCTGTCCCGGTCCGCGCCCTCTCCGGTGCGGGACGGGTTCCCCGCCGGCACCCGCAGCCCCCGCCCGGCGCCGCCTTGCTCCCAGCTGCGCCCCGCGCCTCGGCCGCTGCGCCAGTCGCACTGCGGGCGCCGCGTCCCCACCGCCCGTCTCCCCGGGACTCGCGTCCTCTGCGTCCGGAGCGGGCCAGGCCCTGCGCGCTGGTCGGGCGCGGTGATGCAGGTCCCGCCAAGGGCCAGGCGGTCCTCAGCGTCCAGGGGTCTCGCGTCACGGAAGGGCCCGGCCCGAGGGCCCGGGGCGTCACGGCTTGGGTGCGGTCAGCTCCAAGACCGAGGGCGGGAGCAGTTGCCTGAACTGGCGCTTGGGCATCCGAGGCCCCGCGTCGCCAGCCGATCAAGGATGCGACCCCATCTCGCGCCTCGCGGACCCCTGTCCCTCTCTGCGAGCATGCCTTGGATGGGTTTCCTGAAATTTGTGCCTCTGGGCGTATCTTTCCTGGGCAGCTCCGTGTCTGAGGTTTGGAGGCAAGCTCAGGGAACCAGAGGAGTAGGGGAGTTCCGTTTGGGGTCCTAGAGTGTAGGGTTGAGCGCTCGCGGTGCAGGCCACCTCTCCTTCACTTCGTTCCCGGCCTGGCCAGAGCGGACTCAGGTTCCCAGCCCGTGCCTTGTCGAGTGGGGTTTAGAGCCTTGCCTGTCCCCTGGCCACACCCTGGGCACGCAGCCCTCTCCTGTCTGCCCCGCATTGATGTTTGTACAGGGAGTAGGTTTTCGTTTGTGACTTTCTGTCACCAGTTAAGGAAAACCCTAGTCCAGTTGTGAAAAAGTCACTTGGGAGTGGGCAGCAGCGTTATTTTCTCAGCAACAAATGCCAGGGGACAGACGGAGAAACGTGTGGGCCAAGAGACAGTCTGTTGTCTTCGGGAAAGCTTGTGTTGCTGGGGCCTCTGGTGGCCCTCTGCATGGCCAGTGTGGGAGAGGCGGTTTCCAGGGTCAAGCCACACCCTCCCCGCTTAGGCTGCAGACAGGAAGGAAGGGTAATCACGAACTGTTCATCAACAGTGGGGTATTTTCAGAGTGGCCTTGCCTGCTTCACTTTAAAGACTTTAAAAGTGGCACACATTACCATCCTTGTCAGTGTGTCCAGACCTAAGAATTGTGTCCCTGTGTCCCCTTGCAGCAGCCCTTCCAGCCCCGCTCCAGAGGCTGACCACCCAAAGAGGGGTGTTGGAGTCTTGACTGACCTGATGACTCCACCCCAGGCCGTGTGGTTTAGGAGAAGAGGGTTCATAAGTAGGATTCCCTCCGACCCCGGCCGTGCCCGCGGTTGGCTCTCTGCATGCCGTCTTGTATTTGTCCCTGGCCCTTGGACCTGAGCCATATCTCTGTTTCAGATTTTGGCTTCTGGCAGCAGCCAGCACCGCAAGCTGGTGCCCTGTGAGGTTTGTGCTTCGTGTTTGAGATCTGTTTTTCACGTTAAATATCCTGATTGTAGGGTTGGACTGTGTGACCTCGCCCAATTGTTTTTTGTGTTTTCAACCAAAATTCAGATCTTTGCTTTGGGTTAGAAGCTGGATTTTATGTGTCTTCGTGTCTCATTGAACATGTTTTGGTGCAGTGAGCCCAGAATCAGTTCCGGGAAGATTCCCGGCCGGGAAAGTTGAAGTGTTTAGTGCTGGAAGTGGGAGGATGAGCCAGGGGAGATTGTTGCCCACAGTTAGAATTTTTTTTTTTTATTTTTGTATGAGATATACAATCCACACTGCGTTTTTAATTTGATCCCTGCTGTGGTTTAAACCTGAACACTAAATTTTTTCTTCTTCATTATAATGTGGTTGAAAATATTCCTGTTAAAAATCCTATTCATGGCTCCTATAGTTCTAAAAAGTGATTGGAAACCCTTAAAATATTTTTGTATGACACAGATTTTGATATTTGAATCATTAATAACTACTTAAGTTGGATAAAAAAGTACCTGATGAATAATATGATAGTTTAACATTCAGATGACATTTGCAAAGTTTATTTCCATTCATTTTCCTAAAGTCAGCCTTTTAAGCACTTATATGCTTTTTCTTGATAGGGAGTGTGCCAGCATTGTAAGTATCGCTCTGTCCGTGAGGGCTGAGTGGAAAGGCAGTGTGTAGTACCTAGCACCTGTTCTGGCTCTGCTGGGTGTTCTGTTTTTCTTAGAATAAAGCCTTTCCAAGAAAGAATGATACTTTAGGAAGATGAAACATTGCCAGGAGCCAGGGCGCATACCTGTAATCTCAGCTACTTGGGGGGCTGAGGCAGGAAGATTCCGGGCTTGAGGCCAGCCTGAGCAACTTCATGAGATCTTGTCTCAAAATAAAAAGTAAGTAGGGCTGGGGCTGTAGCTCAGTGGTAGAGTTTCCCTGGGTTTGATCTTTGGTACTGAAAAGAAAGAGGTGAAACATTTTGGAAAAGTTAGTGTCTTCATTTGAAAGTTATTAGTGCTTGTATTACTTGCTTGGATATAACTTCCTGCTGATTGATCTGGGTGAACGTCCCTGGTCACGAGGAGGGGAGGAGTCCTGGTGGGGGCACAGGGACCCCTAGGCCTGGGTCATGCTGGGATTTTGTGCCCATCACCAAGGGGCACATCGATGCTCATCCAGGGTGTGTGTTTTCTGTCTCTGAGGAGCAGTTGATCTTCTAGCAGGCGATGCTGGCCGGTAGACAGGGATGGTTGATGTGGCTGATTACTATGTTCAGGACCCCCCACAAAGAGCTCTTTCATGTGTACCCCAACCCACTTCTGGAGTAGGAACTGCTGGCCTCTATGGTTCCCTCCTGTGTAGAGGAGCGTTCTCTGTAATTCTTTGCTGAGTGATATTTATCTGGACCTTGATGTTAACACCTGGGTTCAGGTAGAGATGAGATGGCCTCGCCATGAGAATCCCGAGAGTGTGTGATCTCCAGGGGAGTCGCTGTAGTCTGGGTGCAAATGTGGTGGCCCCAGCAGGACCCTGTGGACGCCCGCCAGCACCAGGCCGTGCCTCAGTGGGCCAGGGGTCCGCATCCATACCCAGGGGCCCTGAGGTTCCCAAGTGCCAGCCCAGTCTGCCGTGGGCCCTAGAGTAGAGCTGCCTAACCGCACCGTGGCCACCTGGCCTGCGTGTGGCTGATACCCTAGAAGTGAGTGACTGACAGGGCAGGTCCTGGGGCGGGTGGCCTGGTCTCATATCTGCGTGGACCCCGTGTGGGCAGAAAGAAGGTGTAGCCTGGCCCTCCTCTCAGGGCCCCTGACAGTGACCAAGGATGACCCAGATGGCAGATGCCTGTAGAAACACAAGCGGTGCCAGGAGCCCCAGACCCCACGCACTGTGGGAAGGGTCTCAGCGGTGACCCCTGTGGCCTTCCCACAGCCTGCCCTGTGTTCCTGGGGAGAGGGGCCTGTGGGGGGGCAGCTGCCAGCTTGTGCCTTGATTTTCCCACTCTTTTCTGCTTGTGCCCTGCTCTCCCTATGGCACAGCCGGTGCCCAGGCCCTTGCCCATGCCAGGCGCAGGGCTGCCCACGCACTTGGGGTTTGATCAGTAACTTCTGCCGGGGGTGCTGACTGACCCTGATGGCCCAGTGCAGGCTGGGTTCGCATGTGGAGCAGTGAGTGTCTCTTGCCCTGGCGCTGGGCCAGCTCCCTCTGTTAGCGGGCGCCTGGCGCGGGTGGGGCGGGATCCTCGGCAGCCCTGAGTCAGGCAGGTTGGCCGGCCCTACGCTGCCCATCTCTGTGTCCCCGGTTTCCCTGTCCTCTCTGCCCTGAGTCCTTCACGCTGCGCAGGGTGGGTGGGTGGGTGGGGAGCCAACTGCTCTTAGGGTTGGCTCTGCACTGTGGTTGCAGGAGGGGACCCTCAGCGGGCAGAGTGTGAGGGGCCCGGGCAGGGCGAGGGTGAGGCCAGCGGGGGGAGGGGCAGCGTCTGTGTGACTCCGCCGTCACCTGGTCAGAAGGGCACGCTTACTGGAAATGTGCGACGCTGTTTCTGTGTCATGGGTGAGTCAAGGGCTGGGAGCGGGAAAGCCTCGCGTAATTGATGTTTGAGCTCAGCCGCATCCAGCGGGCAGCTGCTTGGGAGAGAGAACCCAGTGCTGGCGCTCTGCCCTGGGCCCCGAAGGGGAGGTGTTCAGTGACTGCATTCGGCCTGCGGAGGGGAGGTGGCTGATCTCAGGATGTTTTAGTGCAGGCTGGAGCTCCCAGGAGTTCCTGGAACCGAAGAGATGCTGGCTATCGCCGTGCGGACGGCAGCCGCCAGCGTCCGTGTCGTTTGAGCTGACAGCGGTGAGCAGCCACAGCTCATCAGGGCGCGCCCTGTGCCACCGAGGCAGTCGGTGCGCGTGGGTCCCATTGTACAGAAACCAAATACGCAGAGTGCCGTGGGTGCTAAGCTTTGCTCCTCTGTGGCTTCTGCGTCTGAGTAGCACTGGGGCCACAG